TTAAGGTAACCACAAAGGAAACTAACACTCCTACACATCAAAGTAAGAAACTAGAAAAATATAAAGACTCAGCAAGTACAAAATCAACAACAATGAAAAAGATGAAAAGAAAATACATAAAGAAAAACAACTCAGCACAGAAAATTAAGTGGAACAAAGAAACTGTCAACAACACACAAAAAAAGACATTAAATTATAATCTAGCTTGGTAGAGGTTAACATGATAAATTCCAAATGACTTGAGTTCGAACCAATGAGATTTAGTGTATTCTAGCACATTGTCAATTACCTTAGTATTTTTCCCTCAAAGCTTTTTTTTTTTTTTTAAAAAAAAAACACTTCATCTCTTGTATTTAGTCACAGAAAATGCTTGAACAGCAAGCACTCCCTATGGAACTTCTGCATTTGAAAAAAAAAACGACGCCACTGATCAATCTCAGCATGTGCAAGGGAAAGGGATAAATCAAATGCTGATGGCAAGGAAGGCTAAGTGAGGCTACACAGAATGTTTTGCTTTTGCTGTTATCTGTTGAGCCTAGAGGCATTTCCAGACACTAGGCAGTGTGCTCTTCCCTGAGCAACCAATGGAAAGGCCTGTGTGGAGGAGGGGAGGGAAAGCACCCCGGGCACATCTGAGTTTATAAATCATGGAGACACAGAGCAAGGAGAACATTACTTGCCACGTAACACTTCCCAGAACTGCTCGTAAAATGGATATGTCAAATTTCCATTAAAATTGGAAATGATAAAAAATAGTAACATTTTTTGGAGGAGGAGAGAGGATGTGTGGAATTTAAACATAATACCTTCTTTAAGTCCCTGGGTGGTACGAATGGCTAACTCACTCTGCTGCTGACTGAAAGGTTAGCAGTTTCAATCCACTCAGAAGCCTTGGAAGAAAGACCTGGCAATCTATTTCTCAACAATCAGCCATTGAGAACCCTATGGCACACAGTTCTCCTCTGACAAACATGACGTTGCCATGAATTAAAATCGACTCAATGGCAACTTTATTTTTAACCTTTTTTAGAGCACCTTTAAATACAAATCTAAAGTAACTTTTTAGATTAGAAATTAATCATGTATTTTGTGTAACTTGGTTTGTTGAAAAAATTTAATACTTTGGTATATTTAGGGAATATATCTAGAAAAATGCAGGTGATTTTTTAAACCAAGTATGTCTTTGGGAAAAATATTCTTTCTCATTTTCGCTCCTCCTTTTCCTGAGTCTCGGGTTTTTGCTGATAGACTTTCTTTTACTGAAAAAGAAGCTCAAATGTCAGCTTTTTGGCAAAGCCCTTCCTGACTCACCCCATCTCTTTTTCCAGGAAGTTTGTTCAGGTCTTCCGTGCTCTTGTAGCACTTTGTTCCCGTGTTTTGATAGGGTAAGTTTTATCTTACTGCTTCGAAATTCACAGCGTATAGGCCAGCCTCCCTCTCTCAGAGGACCACTGAGGTCTGGCTTTGACATTTTCTTATCCCCAGATCTCTGACCATGCTCCATCATACTCATTTGTTGCCTCCTCTCCTTGCCCACCTTGTAATGTTAATATTCCCTCGGGTTCAGACCTTGGCAATCTTCTCATGCTACTTACTTATTTGTCTTGAGCAACCTTACCCACATTCATGTATTTGTTTAATTACTACGTACATGTAAATGATTCCCAAGTATATTCCTCAATCTAGATTTCTCTCTTGAGCTCCAGACTCATAAAACCAAATGCCTAATGACCTTTGATGGACCGTGGGCCTCTCAGATGCAGTTAGTACAAAACTTGTTACTGTTCCTCTCTCTATATTTCCCTTTCTACATGTCCTTTTACAATAAATGATGCACCAGAACCCCTGTTATACAAGTCAAACTTGGATTTAAAGTGTCTCTTTCCTTCACACAAATAAGATCTCTTGGCTCTCCTTCCCTATGAAGAAGTCCACATTCTTTTGCATGATATGTAAGTTCAATGGTAAGGTGTATAAATGTTTAACAACTGGCTTTCAGGAAAAAAAAAAAAAAGCCCTCATTTGTAGCATTTGCCAATGTCCATGGTATAAATACTCCCACCATGACTGATTTCAAGCTACCATCTTGACATCACTGAATACAAAGTTGGGAAGAAATGCTTAATAGTACATCATTATATAATAATTACACTTATATAGATGAAATAGACATAAATATCCTCAAGAACATAGATAATAGTAAGCTGTTGCAAAATAAATTAGGAAGTGAGCAGTTTTGAGTATTTAACATTTCTAATATATTTAAGTATACGTTTGCATAATTTAACCTTTAAATGGCTGAGTTTAACAACTGGGTCTCAAAATTCCTAAAATGTAACCATGGACTCTCACATGTACATGACTTTAAGATCTGTGGCTTGCCTGATATTCCAGCCTTATTTTTCCTTCTGTGTGTCTCTGTCCTTTAAGAATGGGCAACCAAATAGAGCAGGGGTAGCAGTTATGTAATAGTAAATGACAGCCTGCGGGAAATGGTGGGCTTGTTTGAATCAGCAGAGCCTGCAGCTAATACTAGAAAGTTTATTTTCACCTTCTTAAGTAAGTCAGACTATTTAACTACATCAGCAACTTTCCCTGCATAGTTCCAACCTGGCAAATACCTACTCATCTTTTGAGACTCAAACGTAGAATCATTTCCTTTATAAACCTTTTCCCTACTCCTCCAGCCGCCTCTAGGTATGACTGTGCCCAGCATGTTTTTACCTCGTGCATGCTTTTACCCTGACAACTGGTTGGCATTTATTGTTTGCAAGTTTAACTTTTCCACTGGACCATGTTATCATCTCTCATTCATTTTTGTATCTCAGATACATTGGACCTTTAAAAAAGTTGCTGAATAAATTAGCATGCACTCAGTAAATGTTGGCTTCAGCCAGTTTCCACCGTCACCCCCCAGATGATCAGGTGTTCCTTCTCTGAAGACTTCCCCTGGATTTGTGGCCTGTTTGCCACTGTATTCTCTCCACAACTATGGATTCAATCATTCAATCAAAGCACTTCAACTATTTTGCTACAATGGGAGGGAAACTTCGGGTACAAAAGATCTGCATAATAAAATCTGCAAAAAAAAAAAACCAAAGGAGGGAGGGAAGGAAGGCAAATGTACACCTTTTAAAATTATTTCTAGCTTATAGCTCCAACCAACATCTTCCTTAGAGCAATTAGAGCCAATGAGGAAGTGAAATGCTCTCTGTTGGGATCTCTGTCCCCTTCGTCCCAGGTTGACACTGACCTTATTGCAGCCACCCAAGACGCAGCTCAGCGACTGCATGGTTCTGCTGGCAGTTTTCTTGCTCTAAACTCTCTGCTAAGCTCTCTGGCCCTGGAGATAGTTCTCATGTCTAGAGCTTCCTCAAATGACAACTCCACGTGGCATCAAAACCTGCATTAGTCAGCCCTTCTCTTGCCTCCTTCTAGACCCCAAACCAAAAATCCACTGTTGTCAAATTGATTCCAGCTCATAGTGACCCTATAGAACAGAGTAGAATTGCCCAATAGGGTTTCCAAGGCTGTGATCTTTACGGAAGCAGACTGCCACATCTTTCTCCCGTGAAGCAGCTGATGGGTTTGAACTGCAGGCATTTTGGTTAGCAGCTAAGTGCTTTAACCACTGCACCACCAGGGCTCTTTCCTTTCTAGACCCACTGCTCACCTACAACCTCCTGGTTCTTTCACAATTCTGTCTTTTAGAGCTCTCTCTCCCAAGCCTTCGACCATTGACCACAAAGTCTTTTCTACTGAGTAATTAAATTTTCATTAGTTCAGGCCTAGCCTAGCAGGAGACTTTTTTAATATTTGTATTATATGAGGAGTCATTTCCTGCATAGCTTCTAATCAATTTCCCACGGGGACTAAGTACCAACCCTTGTACGTGTTTTGTTGTTGTGTGGTGTTGAGTCGGTTCCGACTCATAGCGACCCTCTAAGACAGAGGAGAACTGCCCCCATAGGGTTTCCAAGGAGTGGGTCATGGATTTGAACTGTGACCTTTTGGTTGGCAGCTGAGCTCTTAACCACTGCACCACCAGGGCTCCATCCCATGTACTAGAGTGGCTTTATCTGATGTGCTTGAGTCAATCGGTCAATCCGTCCCAGAGGCAAGAATTATATTTTTTTTCTCTTCCCATCTCCAAGGCCCAGCTATTACTTGGCACATTTAAAACCAAAAACACCCAAACTTGTTGCCGTTGAGTCAATTTTGACTCATAGCGACCCTAAAGGGTAGAGTAGAACTGTCCTATATGGTTTCCAAGTCTGTAATCTTTATGGAAGCAGACTGCCACATCTTTCTCTAGAGGAGCGGCTGGCGGATTCTAACCACTGACCTTTCGGTTAGCAGCTGAGTGCTTTAACCACTGCACCACCAGTGCTCCTTATTGGCACATGTAAGCACTCAATATTTGTTGAACGAAGAACTGAAAACAAACAAAAAGAACTGCTGCCATGTAGTGGAGAAGAAATGGACCAAAGAACAAATATTTGGTTGTTTTTGTCATGAAAAGCACCCGGAGCCTTACACAACACCAAGGAGACTCTATCGCTACCCCCAAGGGGCCGTGCTGTCTAGTGTCCTATGTACTTATGCCAAATACCAGTTTCACTCCCACTGGGTCAGTGTGCCTGGACTGGCCTTAATTGTAACTGAACAGATGAAATCTTCACCCTCTTTATCAAAACCTGTCACTGAAAGAATCCTTGGTACATTGAGCTCTGTTTAATTTACGAACTTGCTGGTAGTGTCTTTCGGTTAAAATAGCACTGAAAAGCTACGTTCCTTTCCTAAGTTAAATTGAGTCACAAGTTTCCCACAAGGACGCAAGTTTCAGAGTGAAATCTTGGGCTGAGAGCTTAAGAAATGAATGATTTCAGCTCTCAGTTCATCCCCTCCTGCCCTAAACGATTGTTACCTCAACAGTGTGGTTTGACTACCCCTGACAGACAGCTGGCAGAGTGGGCCTTCCCCGAGGCCTGCATCCCATTGTGCAGCTGTATGCTGGCCTTGCAGACAATAGGCCTGGCTCCCCAGAGGAGGGGAAGGAATTGTGCAGCTGAGGAAGAAGCTGGCAGAGGGAGGGAGGCGGCAGGCTTGACTGACGCTAGAGAGGGCTGGCTTTTTGAACCGCTCTTAGCAACAGCCCTGGTTTGACCCTCGTCAGCCCTGAGAAAATCAAATCAGTGTTCCGTTCTTCCAGGCGTGATGCAGCATCAGCAGCTGAACCTCAAAGCAGCCCTCCTCTCAGCCTGTTAATTACAGGCGCTTTCGGATCCCATGGTTCCTGCCTTTGCAAAGTGCCTCTGAGAAGGGGGACGAAAGGACCACCGCTCAGCCCCTTGCTGCTCCCGGCTTCAGGCTTGATTGTGAGTGGTCATACATCATCTCAACTCTCGGGTAGGCGGGACTGAGAGGGGTGGTCCCAGGCCCCTGGACCGGCCGGGGCCTAATTCTTTTATTCTAGAGTCACTGGCCCCTGGCTGCGCGTTTCTTTGCCGTTTGTAGGTGAAAGCCCATTGGCTTCCTCGGTTCCTTGACTTAAACCACGCCCGGCTTTCCGCCCGCCTGGCTGCTGCTGGGTCAGGCCCTCACCCATCCCCGTCCAGCTTGGAGGGAGCCCGAGGGCGTGGCGGTGCTATTGTGTGGATGCCGCGGGGTCCGCTCTTCTCTTGCAGAGATGGCTAACAGGGGCCCGAGCTACGGCTTAAGCCGAGAGGTGCAGGAGAAGATCGAGCAGAAGTATGACGCGGACCTGGAGAACAAGCTCGTGGACTGGATCATCCTGCAGTGCGCCGAGGACATCGAGCACCCGCTCCCCGGCAGGGCGCATTTTCAGCAGTGGTTAATGGACGGGACGGTAAGAACGGCAACGGCGTTGCTGCTGGGGCGGTGGGCAAGGAAACCTCCCGGGCCCTTCGTTTTGGCGCGAGGCTGCGTGAGATGCTGCTGTGGCCGCTGTCTCACGGAGGATGGGAACGCCGGTATCTGGTGCAGCATGTGGGCTCCCTGCACCATCCCCTAGCTAGTTAGAGGATTCTCCACCCATCCCATGCTTGGCAGCTTCCTTCTGAGGAGTTGGCAAATTCAGTGCCCTTTTGCTTTTCCTAATGAGACTAGAGAGAACTATTTCTTTATGATTTCCTCAGCCTTCTTGGCTCATCAGCGGGTGGGGTTATTTCTTCTCCCAGGGGAATGAGGTGGTTAGACAGTAAAACAAAGGAAGGGCTGGGGACCTAGCCACCCTCCCAGCCCTCCCGGGGCCCTGGGTGCTCACTGTCTGTCCCTTGAATGGATGAGTTCTCATGAAACTAAAGGGAGTCCTTATTTAATACTTGATTTTCTGATCAGATGCTTGTGTTTTGGGGGGCTGGGAGCTGCAGGCTCTGCTGATTCAAACAAGCCCACCATTTCCCGCAGGCTGTCATTTACTGTTACATAACTGCTACCCCCGGTCTATTTGGTTGCCCAGGGTGTGGCTTATAGGTAGCTGGATGAGGGTACCCAATCCAGTTCTTTTGCACATTATTAGCACATATGGGATGAGTGACAGAAGCCACAGACAGAAGAAATAATATTAGACTCTATCATTTGACATCACCCACCCCAGCCACGAGCTCACCTCTCCGTGCAAAGTCTGAAGTCATGTCTGGCTCCCGCTCCACATCATTCCCTATTTGTAAACATTCTGTTCCTCTCCCAGAAAAGGAAAGGAAGGCACAAGGATGGAAGGGGGTTTCCAGGCTGCAAGACTCGCTGTGGTCAGGTGCAGCCCTGGGAATGGGGTTGTCTGGGTTTTTAGGGTTCAGTATGGGAGCCTGGCCACACAGCTGAGCCCATGCCTTCCTGGGGCCTGTGGCTTGCCCGTGCCCAAACCTGGTGAGCTGTGCTCAGTAGGGGAAGGCTCACTTCGAATGAGTGACCTGCAAACACAAAGGGACGCATTGATTCTGTCTCCTCTCTCCCGTTTCAGGTTCTGTGTAAGCTGATCAACAGTTTATACCCACCAGGACAAGAGCCCATCCCAAAGATCTCAGAGTCAAAGATGGCTTTTAAGCAAATGGAGCAAATCTCCCAGTTTCTAAAAGCTGCGGAGTTGTACGGCGTCAGGACCACGGACATTTTTCAGACGGTGGATCTATGGGAAGGTAAACAGCCTACGACCTTTGAGGTTGTTCTCCCCTCCCCTCCCCTTTGTGACACCTCTGTGAAGCCTGCTCACCATGTTCTTCCCTGCACCGCAGGTGTGTATAGGACTGGGGTGGGCTGGGGGGAGTGTTGTCAGCTGTCAGCCCTCGGGCACAGTTAGCCACCCCCCCCAGATGTGCTCTATCACAAGGCGCACTTGCCTCTAAGAGAACACAGTCTAGGACACACAGCGACCTCAGGACACCGACATGTAAACAGAAGCTCAACCACGAGAAAGCTAAAATGGTTACAGGGATGCCTTGTCTTCCTCTTGCTCCTCCCACAACATACTCCCTCAGAGCACAGCCTAGCTACTGCAAGAAAAGGGAGGCAGGGGGCAGAGCTTCTGACTCACCAGCAGCAGGCCTTATAGACAAAGCCGGCTGGTGCTGTTTGTCTTTCCATCTGACAAATAAATAACATCTCAACCTTTTTTATTAACCCCTTATGGAGAAGCGTGGTAACTATACCTTCCAGATACGTATTCTGCTCAGATAGCCTGACAAATGATTTTTTTCTTTCAGATTTGTGAATTGGTTTGAGTATGAAATCTTATAAAGGTATAAAAAGAAAATGGCATTTCTGGACATATTTAACAGTCCACCATTATTGGGGGGAAATGATGTGGGTGGAGACATTCTCAGAGAATTTGGGACCTGTGGTCACAGTGCCTAGTGTCCCCTTTAGCCCAAATGTGCATGTCCATCCACACGATTGTGTTCTCCATTAGGCCTGCCTGAGACACTGGGAGATCAAGACCAGGCCAAGCATGGTTGCCAGATGACTGACTCTCACATGCCCATTGTCACTGTCTGTCATCAGTGGCCCAACCAATAGGATCCCCAGAGCAGTGACCCAAATGGCTCTTCTGACAGTGAGAATGGGTAACTTTGTCTGACGAAGAGACAATGGTATTTTAAGGGGTATTCAGATGATGGTTGAAACCGATTTCTGGCAGAGGACCATCCTATTAAACAACTTGTAAAGAAACAATTGCCTCCTTAATCTTCACACCCTTCCGTGTCATGTTAAGAGCTGGTGTGTCCTGTTTCCTTCATAGACAAGTGTTTCAAATCCCAAAAGCCAATGAGCTTGCCTTGTGTTGTACTAGTACCTCAAAACCCAGATATCCAAAACTTCAGGCCAGGCCATTGGACTCCATGGACTCTTGGCTCAAAATCACAATGAAATGTCACAGTCAAGACTTAGTCCCTGCTTCCTAGGTCAAAATTATGATGATTTTCCCCCAGAGAATAAGAGAGCTACTGCTTATTGCATTTTCCTATGCACTAGGCATTGAGAACCCTATGCAGCACAGTTCTGCTCTGACACACATGGGGTCATTAGGTGTCAGAATCAACTCGACGGCAACAGACAAAGGCATTGTACTTATATTGTGTAACATCAATCGATTCTCCTAACTGTCCTATGAGGTGTTATTAATTTCTCCTTTTCAAAGAGGATGAAACTGACGCTTGCCCATGGTTACTGGCGCACATCAAACAGCTAGTAGTTAGCAGAGCTGGAACTTAATCCAGACTGTCTGATGCCAAAGAATAGAGCCTTAACTAGTCTTCCTTGCTATTCTTTGACCAGGGTGGTAGTTTCCTTCACCTACACTGTAAGCATACTGTGACTAATAACAGTGACTAGCTGATTAGGACAAAGAGGATGAGGGGGAGGATGATTCAGGGCCGTATGGGGCAGAAGGATAGAGCCCCTGCACTGTGGGGTTGGTGTGAATGGAAGGGGAGCTGGTGAGACCCAGCAAGTACAGGAAGTGTGTAGAAAGAAGAGGGAGCTGGGAGGTGGGGATCCTGAAGGGGCTTTCCTGCCTTTACTTTACTGAAGATGCTTTTACTTACCCTTCTCTCTTTTTACAAAGACCACTTTACACCAAGGAGGTGCTTGCAGCAAGGGGTGGGGTGGGGTGTAGGGAGCGATGGTGTCTGTCAAACAGAGTAGGTGGAAGTCTACACCACCTGCCGCAGCCCTGTGTGCTAGTTCTCACATAAAGAAGAAGGAAACTAAGAAATGGGAGCGTGACTGTGTTAGCTTGAGATAGGGTAGTGGACAGGTGAACACCAGGCAGGATAATGCCCCCGAAAAAGGGAACAAGGCAGACACTGAGGGATCTCATCCCCAGGGAGGAAGAAAGATGGAGTTGTAAATGGAATAAGGAAAGAGACCCACTCCAAGGGTACTATGGCTGACAGGTAGAAGGAAGAACTATAGGTAGGTCATGTGATAGGTAGGGGTAATAGAGAGAGTTGGCAATAGGGAAGGGGATGCCTAGGAGTTTCCAATAACCCTGAGAAGCCCAGATAGAGATTGAAGATCAACCTTAAGTGGGTTGCTTCGAGCAGAGAGGTGGCGGGGAGGGCTGGCCTTGAGCAAGCCCAGCTGTGAGAACCACAGCACAGCAAAGTAGACTAAGTGAGCAAAGCCGGGCCTTTTCTGCAAGAGTGGGTGGTTGCCTATGAGTTTTAGAGAGATTAGCTGGAATCAAAGGGGTACTGCAGGGCAGGACTGGCATGTGTTTACGTGTCTGTGTGCGTGTGAGGGTATACATGTTCAGATACAGAGCTATTGGACAAACCATTTCTTAGCTTAACCCCACATTGTCTCTCCTATCCTGCACGCTGGCTGTGGGCTTGGTGCTGTCCTCACATTGCAGTTGACTCACGTTAATTCCTGATTCTATCCACTGTGGTTGTGGTGGCTGTGGCTGCCTCTTCTCCAGCCATCTTTCCTGGGTGCTTCCTCGCCTGCAGGCTTTTTATGCTCTACAGCTCTCAGTCTCTCTAGTCGACACCCTGTCCCTCATCTTCCTTGTTCTGCATTTTCCTCCCAAATGGAGCTCAGCTTGCCCACAGCTGCCCAGTTGCTTCTCATGCTTCTCTTACGATGCATACCTATAAACCTGCAGGAACCCAGTCTTGTCAAATGCCTTCTCATCTAAGCATCTTTTCTTCATATAGACAGGACCTCCAGATGGACTCACTAACCTGAAACCCCTTTTAGATGCAAACTGAACTGTTTAGGGTGGACTCTGAGGGAGTCAGAATAAAAGATGAAGAGCTTAAAAAGGAATCCAGGGCTGAATGGGGACCTTATAGACAATGCTACTGAAGTTTGCCCTGGGAGGTAGCTAGGATGACTAGTTCTTTTCACTGATGGGGAAGAAGTGGAGGCAGCTTAGAGAAATGGTGGGGGACTGAGGAAGTCTTCCTCCTGGATGAGAGAAGGTTACTTTCAGATCTGCCGTGGGTACCCTGAAAGGGAATAAAGCACACACTGGTGCATCATAGGGAAGTCTTCAGCATCTTCTCTATGGAGGAGGAAGGAGAAGGAAAAAAAAGGAAGGAGCAAGAAAGGGACGAGTGTGTGCGTGCGTGTGTGTGTGTGTGTGTTTGTGGGTGTGTGTGGGTGTGAGACAGAAAAAGAGAGAGTGAGAGGGTCAGTGCTCTGGTCAGCAAGACTGCAAAGAAAGCTTATCATGGAAGGTATTACAGTAAAGAGTGGAGTGCAGACTCTGGAGTCAGACATCTGACTGGTTCAAACATCTGCTCCACCACTTACCAATTAACCTCTCTAAGCCTCAATTTCCTCAACTATAAAATAGGGATAGTTGTAGTACCTATTTCATAGCGTTGATGTGAGAATTAAATGAGATAATGTATTAAAAATGCTTAGCATAGTGCCTGGCAATAGTAGAGTTTGATAAATGCTGGCAGTATAAAATTCTCACTATCATCGGCCTGTCCTTTCTAACAGTAATAGAAAATGAGGAAGGGAAGAACAAGGCAGGAAAGAGCTCTCATACTCTGTCTTAAAATGATGAACTTTATTAATGTAATGACCTCACATAGGAACTGATAAGGTTGCCTGGCTGACCTTTGTCCTTGCTGTCATCTGTGGTGTCTTCACCTCATCTGCCATTCTCCAATAAGGAGGGTCAGCTTTACTGGGCCCCATATAGAATTTTTCACTATAACTTTTGTTTTACCAATCACAGACCCAGAGTTTTCTGGTACAGCAGAAACAGCATGAGTTTTGGAGTCAGGCAGATGAGCTGAAACTTTCTTTAGCTACGTAAAGCTGTGTTTAAGTTTTGGTACTTAGCTTCTCTGAGCCTCACTTCCCTTCTCTGTAAACAGATCTAGTGCCTCCCTCGGATCTAAGACTCCATCACAGGATTATTAACTATGAGGATTAAATGTACAAAATGCTTAACACAATGCCTAACTAACAGACGCCTAATAAATGCTGGCTTCTTTCTCCCTGTTACAAGTTCTTCAGTAACTGATCTTTTGGTCTCTTTGCATAACCATATGGCAAGCATTAGACACTTAAAATTCTAGAATGTCAGAGCAGGCAAGACTCAGAGACCAATCAAATGGAACCACTCTTTCCAGTAATCCTAATGATGTAGAGCATGCACAAGGTGTTGTCATACCTCTCTGCCCCTCTCCTTGACAGCTGGGAGTTAAGGAGGTGAGGTTTGCATTCGAGGTGGAGTGCCTGGAAATTTCAAGTATATTCTCTAGGGAGGTGTCACTATAGGTGTCATTCCTCAACAGCAAGAACAGAAGAGACATTTCACCAGTTTGAGAGATATTTTGGGAGAGTGTAAGGTATAGGTAGTGACTTTAGACATCATAAATGCCTGCTGCTTGAAGCTTTCTTTTTTGTCAAAGTAGCCTTCACTGCTGGTGATTTTGTTTAGCGGGTTTCTCCTTCAGCAGTGGTTCTCAAACTCGAGTGCAGAATCACTGGCAGATCTTGTTAAAACAGATTGCTGGCCCCCACCCTCAGAGTTTCTGAGGTATTAGATCTGGGATGGGATCCTGGAATTTGCATTTCTAACCAATCCCCAGGTGGTACCGATTCTGCTGGTCTGGGAACCCCACTTTGAGAACCACTGCCCTGCAGACTTCCTCCTTCCTCAGGCCAAGAG